TGACTGATGACTTTCCCTTATTAATGAGAGTAGAAGGTATTTTTGTCTGCTGATGAAATATACATACACTTTGGAATTAAGCATACCTATATTAGAAGATACATGACAGGAGTGCATGAGGGAAATTACCAAGGGAACTGAGTGTAGTAAGTAGCCACTGTTCACTCATGACCTTATATGCCGTGTTATAGAATTTTAAATTTTCCCTATAAGGAACTGGAAAATTTTGAGGAGTATTTGAATTTTGCCCTATAAATAATAAAAAATATGAGCAGACTATTGAAAAATAAAATTACATTTTAGAATGGAGTCTAAATCTCAGTTCATTGAGCTATCAACAGTTGATACATGAGCTTCAGGTTCAGTGAACCTTCTGAAATTATACGTTTCAGAGAGAGCATCTAAGACTTTCTTCAGATTCTCAGAAGTCTTTTTTTTTTAAGAGGCAGGGGAGGGGCAGAGGGAAAGAGAATTTGAACAGGCTCTGTGCCCAGCACAGAACCTGATGTTTGGAGCTCAGTCTCATGACCCTGAGATAATGAGCTGAGCCGAAGTCAAGACTCAGAAGCTTAACCGACTGAGCCACTCAGGCACTCCAAATTCTCAGAAGTCTTTGACATACACACAAGTTAAGAATACCTTCTTTAGGGGCGCCTGGGTGGCTCAGTGGGTTAAAGCCTCTGCCTTCGGCTCAGGTCATGATCCCAGGGTCCTAGGATCGAGCCCCACATCGGGCTCTCCGCTCAGCGGGGAGCCTGCTTCTTCCTCTCTCTCTCTGCCTGCCTCTCTGCCTACTTGTGGTCTCTCTCTGTCAAATAAAGAAATAAAATCTTTAAAAAAAAAAAAAAGAATACCTTCTTTAGAAAGATTCCTCTGGTGACATGGGATAGGGCTTAAAACTAGAGATAGGGTTGTTGATAAAGTAGTTTTTGCATCAAGTATACAGAATATGAGTAGCAGAGGGTAAAAGTGAACTTTCTCTCTGTTCATTATTTCTGGAAAGTACAGCCAGTTTTTAATATTTGTGGTAGTTATGGTCTATAAATTCACCAGAAACACTGAATTAAAGAATATTAGACCGTTGCTTCTAAGGGAAATGAAGGGTTACTATTATATAAATGAGCCAAAATGGCTTTTGTATATTGGCCCCTAGGTTATTTATTTCTTCACAGCTGGCTAGGGTCCATTAGCTTAAAAGCCTCCTGGCATAGGGCACTTGTTTACAGTGTGACAGTGAGAACAGGCAGGCAGGGTGTCACCTGCTCATCCTCAGATGGGAAGGTGTGCATTGGGCAACTTAGATTTTTTACTGTTCTGCGCATGTCTGTATAAGCACTGCGCATGTTGATTTTGAGAATACAAAAAAGGGAGACAAATTTGCATATATGGAATCCACAAATAAAGGGAATCAACTGTACCAGTCCAGGCTCTTGAGTGCTTCCAGTGATGAGACTGTTCCCTCATGTCTTCTCCAATATTTCTCCTGCTGGATGGTTTGAGTGGTGGTTATATTAAGCTAAAATCTGTCTCCTCTTTTTTCTCATCGTAGGTCCTAATGTGGATTTCTGAATTATTCCTTCTTCAGTGTACTGTTTAGGTCGTCTTGTATTCACCTTTACACTGTTTCTTCCCCTGTAGCCCAAAGATTTTCAATTTCTTTGGCAACTTATGGTTTGCTAAGTACTTTAGTGATTTAAGAGTGGAACCTTGAATTTTCTTGTTAGTAACTAACACATCACCTCTCTCTCCACTCCCCTTCCCCCTTAAAAACTGACCAACCTGAATTCCCACTGCCTCATTTGAGTGCATACTATATTTGTCAGTCTTTTTCTGTTGTAAAGTATTCAAATTCATCTGGAAGGATGGGGCATGTGTGGAAAAGACCAGGATAGAGGAATTTCAAATATACAGAAAAATAATTTTTATCTCTTTCCAGTGTCTTTTCACTCCACACTCCTGATGTTACTTTTGCTTCTCCCTTGGTTAGCTTCATTCTGTAACTAGATTTTCTCAGTGTAGTAGGGAGGATGGCCACGGACAGCTCCAGGTTTCTATCCTGTTGGCACACTGTAACTATAGTCAAAACAGAAACTTTCTCAGCCAGTATGCATTAGTCAATTTAGGGACAAACTCTGTTTGGGTCATATATCTAGGCCTGGATCAGTTGCTTTTGCCAAGGATATGGGAAACTGATTTACCAGCTTATGTCTCGTGTAGCCAGAAAAGCAGTGACCCTTGATTAATATGCTTACTGGTGTCATGTGGATTTTTAGTGAAGGACAGGCTCCCAGAAAACACAGGGATGTTAGGCAAGTAAACAACAAATACCTATTATACATACTAAGATAAGTATTTTATTCCCACCATGTTTAGGAATAGCAAGACATCTTTTAAGGACCGTTAGTATGATTGAAGGATTACACTGATTTTGCTTTAAATCCTCAACAATATATGAGCAAAACATATTCAACAATATATTAGAAGGATCAGTCACCATGATTAAGTGGGATTTATTCCAGGGATGCAAGGGTGCCTCATTATTCACAGACTATCAACATGATATACTACATCAACAAAATGAAGGATAAAAATCATATGATTATCTGAATAGATGGAGAAAAAGCATTTGACAAAATTTGACATTTGTTTGTGATAAAGACTCAAAAAAGTTGGTTTGAGGAAAGATACTGAAAAACTCAAAGCTAACATCATTGTCAATTGTGAAAAAGAGAGCTTTCACCCTAAGATCAGGAACAAATCAATGATGTCCAGTCTCACCACTTTTATTCAACATAGTACTGGAAGTCCTATCCTATCCACAGCAGTCAGACCAGAAAAAGAAATGGGGTATCCATATTGGTAAGGAAGAAGTTCACCTATTTGCAGATGACATGATACTGTACATAGAAAACCATAAAGACCCACCAAAAAGCAAAACCAAAAAAAGCTACCAGAGGTAATAAATTAATTCAGTAAAGTTGCAGGATATAAAATTAATACCCAGAAGTCAGTTGCATTTCCATGTGCTGGTAATGAAGTGGCAGAAAGGGAAATTTAGAAAACAATTCCATTTATAGTTATACCAGAAAGAATAAAATACCTAGGAATAAACTTAACCAAAGAGGTAAAAGACCCATACTTTGAAAACTATAAACATTAATGAAAGAAATTGAAGGTGACACAAACAAATGGAAAGATATTCCATGCTTATAGATTGGAAAGATTAATTTTGTTAAGATGTCCATACTACCCAAACCAATCTATAGATTGAATGTAATCCCTATCAAAATGCCAAAATTTTTCACAGAACTAGAACAAATAATCCTAAAATTTGTATGGAACCACAGAAGATCCCCAAATAACTAAAGGAATCTTGAGAAAGAACAACAAAGCTGGAAATAACCACAATTCTAGAATTCAAGATATACTACAAAGCTGTAGTAATCATACCAAGTATGTGGTACTGGCACAAAAATAGACATATAGATCAATGGAGCAGAATAGAGGGCCCAGAAATAAACCCACGATTGTATGGTTGATTAACCTATGACAAAGAATGCAAGAATAAACAATGGGGAAGAGACAATCTCTTTAATAAATGGTGTTGGAAAAACTGGACTATTTATACCATATACAAAAATAAACTCAAAAGTGGATTAGAGACCTAAATGTAAGACCTGAAACCATAAAACTCCCAGAAAAAACATAGGCAGTAATCTCTTTGATATCAACCTTAGCAACATTTTTCTAGGTATGTCTCCTTAAGCAAGGGAAATAAAAGCAAAAATAAATTATTGAGACTACACCAAAATAAAAAGCTTTTGCCTAGCGAAGGAAACCACCAACAAAAGAACAAGGTGACCTACTGAATGAGAGAAGATATTTGTGAATGATATATCTGATAAGGGGCTAATATTCAAAATATGTAAAGAACATACAACTCAACACCAAAAATTCCAAATAACCTGATCAAAAAATAAGCGAGGACCTGAATAGATATTTTTCCAAGGAAGACCTACAGATGGCCAACAGACACAGGAAAAGATGCTCACCATCAGTAATCATCAGAGAAATGCAAATCAAAACCACAATGAGGGGGCTGCCTAGCTGGCTCAGTCAGTAGAATATGCGACTCTTGATCTTGGGGTTATCATTTTGAGCCCCGTGTTGGGTGTAGAGATTACTTAAAAATAAAATCTTAAAAAAAAAAAAAAACAATGAGATAACACCTTACACCTGTCAGAATCACTAAAATCGAAAGAAGTGTTAGGATGTAGAATGTAGAGGGAAAAAAAAACTCTCATATGCTGTTGATGAAAATGTAATTTGGCACAGCCACTGAGAAACAGTATGGAGGGTCCTGAAAAATAATAAAAATGAAAAGAGAAATACAGACAAAAAGTAGAATCAGAGAACAAAGTGATGGCTGCTAGAGGACAGGAGAATAGAGGGATAGGCAAAATGGATAAAGGGAAGTAGGAGATCCAGGCTTCCGGTCATGGGGATGAAAGGCTTAGGGAATATAGTCAATGATATTATAGTGTTGTATGGTGATGGATAGTAGTTACACTTGCGAGTATAGCATAATGTATAGAGAAGTTGAATCACTGTGCCATATACCTAAAACTGATATAATGTGTGTCAACTATATTCAAATTATAATTTTAATTGCTTTTGCTTTAAATGTTGACATGTTATTTCTCAGTGATGGGTCCATAGGAATCTGTTATATTTTCTGTTCGCTTTTTATATGTTAAAATACTTCATAATTTTAATAAAAAGCAAAGTCAATTTTGCTTTAAGTTGGTGAAAGTAGATACTTGAGTCATAATTTTCCTTTAATGGCAGGTTAGCGTTACAAATGATGTTGTATTTGACATACTAATCCATGTGATATTTTAAAGGTATTATAAAGGTAAAGTATTGAGCTTTTTAAAATGATGCAAAAAAATGTATGATTTATTCCCTTTACCTCATACCGTATATTTATGATACCATAGGTACCTGCAAGATGTGGAGTTACAGTCCGAGACAGTCTAAAGAAAGCTCTGATGATGAGAGGTCTAATCCCAGAGTGCTGTGCTGTTTACAGAATTCAGGATGGGTATGGTTTGTATGTGATGTGAAATTTTCTTTAAAAAGAAAAAAGAAAACCTCACACATTAAACTTCTGGGTTTTCTGTAGCAGCTTTACCCAAACCTGGGGTATTGAAATTTAACTTTGGAAAAAAAATATTAAGTTAGCCTAAAGAAAACTTGCAGGCCTTTTGAGGAGTTAACTTTAGATATTTTGTGTGATGATAGTGTTTGTTACTCTGATCAAATACTTTATTTGGAGTGTGAGATTCGGTGTGGCTTATTTGAATAATGGACTCTTCCCCACTCCCCTGTTTTTAATATACACTCATAGTTTCACAAAAGGCTTATCAAAATTAACATTTTATATTAAACTATTTTTCTTTCAGAAAAGTATCTAAAATTGTGCCAAGATCCCAGCCCCCCCCCCCATGAAACCCCTCTAAAATATATATATATATATATATACTTTTTGGGGGGATGTTATGCCTTAGGGGTTATTTTTTTTTTTTTTTTTTTTTTTTAATGGATAGATAAATCCGTACCTCTGATTTTATTTTATTTTATTTTATTTTATTTTATTTTATTTTATTTTATTTTATTTTTTTGAGGAGGGGACCCTAGGAACAATCAATTTTCTGCTGTTGTAGGTCTTTTCTGGAGCTGGCTTGAAGAAAAGAGTACATCTCTTTACCCTGCTGTTTGTCCAAGAGTGATACATTTATTTGGGGTAAACTTAAAAATTAATTTATTGCCATTTAAATTTCTAACGATGGAAGACCAGGGAGCCAACTCTCCCTCACCATTACTAGCCCCTCAATAACCAATTTTCATGTCTTCAGCATGAGGTATATGAAGATTTTTAGATATGATAACCAAGAAAAGCTATGTCTACACTTTTCAGAGAGAAGAAACCGATTGGCTGGGACACTGATATTTCCTGGCTCACTGGAGAGGAACTACATGTAGAAGTGTTGGAAAATGTCCCGCTTACCACACACAACTTTGTATGTACTTTTACGTTTTTTCCAAATTTCAAAAGCATTCAAGTTCTTGCATATGAATTTTTGTTTAGGGAATATGAAATATGGATGCATAATTTTGAGACTGATATTTTACCTAAGTTGAAAATCAGTTCTGTTCTTTAAAAAATTTGTATTTAAACTAAAGAGTTTTATTTTCTTTTTAATTTGAAAAAGTAATAGTTGTCTTTCAATAAAAAGAGCTGAAAAGAAAATCTGAATGGTACAAAAGTATATTAGATGAGAAAAGGAAAATACCTAATAGGGCAAACACTTGTTAATTATTGTGTAGTCTTCCAAATTTTCTGCTTGTACAAACATGTGCTTATACTTTGAGAGCCCAAAGTTCTCTCCATTCTCTTTTTTTCTCCCTTCCCTTCATTTCCATTTCTTTCCTAAAACTAAAAATGGAGTCCTGTTCTGTGTGATAGTCTTCACCTTAACCAAAAAAAAAAAAAAAAAAGATTAAACAGTCCATCATGGATGTCTTTTCACATCAGTACACTTGGCTTTATGTTTATAGTGATTGCATAATAGTCCATAAGAGTATGAATTCAGTATATTTATATTTAACCATCCTCTATTAATAGACATTTAAGGGTTTTTTTAATCTGTTTTGTATAGGGCTAAACAGAATCTTTTTGCATACATCTTGATACACTTGTGTAAATGTTTCTGAAGGGTGAGTTAATGGAAATGGACTAGCTGTCCTTGAGGACCTCTCCCTTCATCTGGTTTTTGCATTTGCTGGAATCTAGCCTAAACTAAGTGTCACCAGCATGATACCTGGAATGTGGAGCATCTCCATCTTAGAGATGAGGATATAGTGCCCAGAGCTTGAGAACCTACACTCTGAAAGGGTAAGGCAGAAGCCAGGAGTAGAATGATCTATAAGGCAGGAATGCTTTTCTTACTTCCTATTGGAATTTTGACCATAGTTTATTTTTTCTAGATGGATAGATAGCTGGTTATTGCTTCCCTTTCGGCATCAAGCGCTTTCCCATGTGCTTTGGTGATCAGTATAGCTGGACTCCTAAAGCAAACGAGAAATGAGCTGATTTCCTTGGGGATTTGTGTTTTCAGGGCTCCATTAGTGGTGAATAATGATGAATAATTTGTGCTTCAATAAGGCATCTTTTCAATGAGTGTTGTCAGTCAGATTTACTATGTAGCGAATAGTTTTGTAATGATGACCTAGCAAATTCATTACTATTGACTTTTTTTAATTTGTAGAATTTCAGGTGGATAAATCTGAAGATAATTTTAAGTTTTTAGGAATCCAAAAACAATAGAGGTTACATTTCATGAAGATTACTACTCTTTTTCCTAATTATTTTTCTTGGCTAGAAAGTAGCTGAGAGGTAAGAGACCTAAGTTGTTAACCATAAAATGGTGTTAAAGTGGTGCCTCAGGAAGATCCTTGCTGCAAGAGGATAATGAAAACAAGCTGCAGCCTAGTTCCAGAGTATGGAAATCCTCACAACACAGTTGAAGCCCTGCCACTAAATATTTATTAAGAACTTTCCATTTGCCAACATGGTGTCTGATCTGGGACTCTGACAATGAATAAGAACAAACAATATCCCTGCCTTCGAGTAGATAGATGTTTTGAAAAGAACATTTCATAAACACTCTTAATTACTGTGTATGTATAAAGTACAGTAGATGCACAGAGTAGACTCCTAACCTAGCCTTTGGGGAGTGAGGAAGGTTTCCCAAAGGAAGAACTCTCTAAGCTAAGGCCTGAGAGATGAGGGAATAGCAGATGGAGGTAAGGGAAGAGCACTCTCACCAGAGGAAAACAGGGAGAAAGCATGGGACGTCTCAGTCTTGAAAGAAGTTCAGGGGGAATGGTGTCAAGTTGGAGAGGGGCTGGTTACAGTGTAGCAGGAGTTATGGGTAGAGTAAGAAGAATCCAGCTCCTAGTAGTCCTTGTAAGGCACATTAAAGATTTACACTTCCCTTTAAAATAATTGGAAATTGATTGAGATCAAGGGAGACATGTGGATTTGTGTTTTAGAACAATTGCACTGAGTGTCATGTAGAGGCAAGAGTAAAAGCAAGTGTTCTACTTAAGAGAGAGAATTCCTTTGCTTCCCTGTGCTGGATTTCCTGGCAACTCAAGGAATGCTGCTTATCCTCCCAGTTTCCTGGAGTCCATTATAAAAGCAGTTCCTATGGTATTTGCCTACATTTCAGGAGTCCCTGGGAACTGCCAGGGTGGAGGCAGCAGGAGAGGTAGAAAAACAAGAAAATATACCTTCCTGTAATCACTTTTATTGACAAAGGTATATTCCCAGGTCCAATTATATGTCACAATTTATACTCAAATGCATTCCCATATTTGTTTCTCCTCATTTTCGCTCCTCTCTGCTTTCTTCTCTGCTCCCCTCCTGCCATATTTGGTTTTCTTCTTCACATACACAAATAGTCTGGTACACATAGTTTTCAAGTAGAATCAGTAGCTGGAAGAAAGACTGCAAGCGAGTAGATTAATGAAAAGAGAAATTAGAGCTTCATGAAACTTAACAGATTATTAGGTGAGTGAGAAATAGAGAGGATAGGAGAGGCTCAGAGGACTGTAAAATGCTGATTCCTGGGAACACGTTTTGTATTTTTCTGTGCTTTATTTTCTGAAATTCTGCAAGAAATACAAAAAACACTTGCTTTGGCAAATATTAGCCAACATAAATGTTAAAGATTTTCTAATTTCTTTAATATCCAGAGACAAACAGAACAGTAACAAAACTAAAAACAGGCAGTTGCCTTTGTATCCCCTAGAAAGTGCCACATACCCCAAAAGGTAAAGCAAACAAGAGCCACTCTTAAAATTACCTGAATGTTCTCAAAAACCCTAGAGTGCCTGATGTGCTAAGATGTCATTTTCCTGATGAGACATTATTTTTGAAAACTTTTTATCCTGTTAAATGCATGTTTACTGAAAAAAGTTTGGTAAACTGTGGGTATTGAAATCAACTTAATGGATCATAAAAAAAATTCCCATATAATAGGAAGTCCTGATGTATATTATATATAGTCAGGGTAAATACTAGTGTCTGAATATAGGGGTGTCCTGGGTCATGATGTAAAATGTGTTTCTTATTATTGTTAGTGATGAAAACTATCTGAGAAAAAGGTGAATAAAGAATACACACAGCAGGGGCGCCTGGGTGGCTCAGTGGGTTAAGCCTCTGCCTTTGACTCAGGTCGTGATCTCAGGGTCCTGGGATCAAGCCCCACATCGGGCTCTCTGCTCAGCAGGGAGCCTGCTTCCCCTGCCCCTGCCTCTCTGCCTCCTGGTCTCTGTCAAATAAATAAATAAAATCTTTAAATACACACACACACACACACACACACACACACACACACACACAGCAAAGACAAAGGACAAAATAGAGTCACGCATGCTCTCACCACTCTGAAGTAGCCACTGTTAACATTTTGGTGTTTCTCTTACGTTTTCTGCTTATTCTATACCCAAAACAGTTAAACTAAAAATAATTTCCGGCTTCAGTAGTTATCACAGTAGAGCCTCCCTAACACTGTTCTTTTATGTGACCTCTGTGTAAGTCATTTGCCTTCTGACATGGAGTTCTTCCATGTTGCCTTTTAAGTTTCCTGGAGAGGAGTGTTCACAAATTGAGGTGTTCTAATCCTCTAACAAACCAATAATTAGAAGTGGTTCTTACTGTCTTTTAGGTGATTTTCCTGTCCTGTAGCCTTGTTAGTTTCTTTTTTTTTTTTTTAATTTTTATTTATTTATTTGACAGAGATCACAAGTAGGCAGAGAGGCAGGTGGGTTGGGTGGGGTGGGAAGCAGGCTCCCCGCTGAGCAGAGAGCCCGACGCGGGGCTCGATATCAGGACTCTGAGATCATGACCTGGGCCGAAGGCAGAGGCTTAGTCCACTGAGCCACCTGGGCGCCCCATTAGTTTCTGTTTTGAAAGCTCTTTGAGTGATTATCTTCCCATTACTAAGTAGTTACTTTAAGCCATAGTTTCTTGCTTTACCAACTTCAGCCACCATTTACTGATTCCAAAGGGAATTAGTTCATTTGTAGCATTACATTTCTTCTTCCTTCTTCCCCTTCTGCAGTGTGATTTGTTGTTGGTGGTGGTTGGTTTTTGGGGTGGGTTCCTCTATTGGATACCTTTGTATCTTTAAGTAATAGAAGGATACCATTGTTTCTTGTTCTGTCAGCACCAGTAAGCATCTCTTAACTCCTTTCTTTGTACCATTACTAAAGTATGCCCTTACCCTTCCTTTCATCCCTGATCCCTCCTTCTATTCATCATCTCTGTTTTGACTTTTATGAAGTCAAGCTTGAAAATAGTTTCCAGTTATCATCTCTGTTTTGACTTTTATGGAGTCAAGCTTGAAAATAGTTTCCAGTCTTTTACTCACTTTACATCTTCTCGACTTCTGAGTTTTATAATAGTAGTATTGGGTGGGAGATAAATACATATAGTCCATCTATTGTCTTGAACCCCTCCCCCGGTTTTCATTTTAATATCTTCTTATGTAAGGCACTCTCATGATATGAACATATTAAAGATTTGTTATTTTAAGCAAGAGAGTAAATAAGTTGATTTCTGAGAAGATTCTTGTAAGTTTTTGAAATTCTCTGTGGTGTTTTTTACTTTGCAGGTACGGAAAACTTTTTTCACCTTAGCATTTTGTGACTTTTGTCGAAAGCTGCTTTTCCAGGGTTTTCGCTGTCAAACATGTGGTTATAAATTTCACCAGCGTTGTAGTACAGAGGTTCCACTGATGTGTGTTAATTATGACCAACTTGAGTAAGTAATCAAAAAAGTCTCTTTTCTACCGACATTTTACTTTTCTTTATGTGAAACTAGTGTATCTTAGAGCCTGGGAACTTTCTGTCCAGTAGAGTTATGGGGAATTTAAAAAGGATGCCTGGAGAATATGCTGTAGTATAGCCATTACTGCTCTCCTGAATTGTAATTCTGATTAAGCTATACATCTCATTTATGTCTTAAACCCTCTTTTAATTAATAAAGATCCCTTGCCCATAGACATCATTTTTAGATGGTTTTTGGGAGGAGAGTGGGTGTGATTTCAATTAAGTTAACCATTGTATTTTTGGATCACAGATCGGGGTTCTGGTTCTATCACTATTTTGTAAATTATATGTATTCTCTCTCTCTCTTTCTCTCTCTGTCTCTTTATCTCTCCTTCAACCTCCCCTACCCAGTTTATTTAAAAGTAAGATATAAAATCTTTGTACCCAGTGTATCTCTTTCTAAAATTTCTATTTGCTTTATGCCAGAGTTTCTGTAATAGACTAGACTAAGTCTATCGTAATCTTTTTTATTGTTGTTGCTGCTACTACTGCTAAGGTCTTTTTACTTTTCTCAATCACTTGAGCAAAGAGAATTCAGCTCTATAAAGTATGTTATAATGATGTAATCTGAGAGGGTAGATATATTTTCTTCTAATTCCTTAACCATACAGCATGATCTTTCCTCTCTAATATATAGAAATTCGCTGTATAGAGCAATTAGTTTTAGATTATAAGCTTGCTTTTCAAAGTACAATGTGATTTTTTTTTTAAATAAGCCTTCAGGCAAAAACACAACTAATTGAATTTAACAGTCATTTCTGAAAGTAGAATTTGATCCCAAATATTTCTGTTAACTCTATAATGTATTCTGGTGTATGAAGCTTCTGGGTTTTGCACAAGTTAGGTTTGTTTTGTTTTGTTTTTGTTTTTGCCTCACAGTTTGCTGTTTGTCTCCAAGTTCTTTGAACACCACCCAATACCACAGGAGGAGGCCTCCATAGCAGAGACTGCCCTTACGTCCGGATCATCCCCTTCTGCTCCCCCCTCCGATTCTACTGGGTATGACTTGACTCCTGCTGTTCAATGACAGTGCTTTTTGAGCTGGTTTCTTTTGGATCTTTTGGTTAATTATAAACCTTTCCAACTACTTGGATTGTTAAATTAAGGATTTTTCTTCAGGTAACTTATTTTATCACATCAGGCAAATTCGTACATGCATTTGTTAAGATACATGTGGTTAAAACTGACGTAGACTGTTTCAGGACCAGTCTTGGAAAAAAATCAAGTAACAAATCATTTAGAGTCCCTGCCTTGTGCTCATCACTTTATTAGGTAATATTAAATATAGAAGTATATGATCCCCGTTTAGAAAAGTAGCATTGACCAGTGAGACAATGGCAAACAATTTAAAAATTGTATATAATTATAGTCTACAGTTTCTCAGAGGCTATGATATTTTAAACCATGTGAGGACATAAACATGATCATGTTTCCCGTAAACAGGAGAAAAGCGAGAGTAGTCAAAAATATTTAATGAGGAAATGGGATTTGAACTGAATTTTGAAGAATTCTAGAATCTGAATGAATCCAGGGAATAAAAAGCATGGTGGTGGGTTGGTGAGGGAGAAATAGCATAAACAAAGGGAATGGGGAGAAGGGATGGGTATGTGTAAAGAAAAATATTAATAGTACTAGTTGTGGAAGAGAAAGGTAAAACTGACTTTAAAGGTGATATAAAGCATCATATATTCAAGCTTCATAGGAGGGAAAAAAAGATGATGATGAGTAGCAGATATTAGTGTTTGGGAGAATTTCTTACATAGGTCTGCATTCTCTTTACCTTTTGGATTTGAGACAGAAGAAATTATGCTGTATTTGGAAGCATATGTTTAAAAAACTGTCCCCACATACCATTCTGTTCTATAATATTCCAGAGATAATTAGTTAAGATCATGAATATTTATTGTCAGTTTGAACCCTACTTCCTTCCTCTCTTTACAATGTAATGCTATCTTTTCTGCCTAAAGACAGAAAAAAATAAGTGGACGATCCTGAGACCTGTAATTTTACAAAGCCAACCTTTCTAGATGTTTCATAGGCTAGAAAAATTAGCAAAAGATTTGTATTAAAGACTGGATGCTTTTATCTACTTTGGAACACTAGAAAATGCAGCCTTTTTTTTTTTTTTTTTTTTGGTCAGGTTGTAACGGTTACCTGGTCTGTTGGAGTCCTTTTATTCCTACTGTCTCTATCGTTAGTTTTATAGTACCTGGGTCTTTCTTAGATCAAAGTGTTGTTATTGTTTGTTTTGGTTTTTAATTAATATTTTGGCTACGGCATTTACTCCTGGCAGGTCCCAGTTCTGTGAGCAGAGTTACAGAACACCACAATGAAATTAACATGGTCTTTCTGAAGGTTTATAATGGTAATGATCCAGACAGTTACCTTCCACTGAAAGGTTGCTATCTTAAAACTGAGAACCATTTGCTTATGCCACGAGTATTTTATTTATAACTAAACCAAAGTACATTCTGGTCTTGAGCAAATGATAAGAAAGGTGTTCTAACTTTTGTTTTCCTGATGCTTTTATGTCATAAGTGTCTGTATGTGCCTATGAAAAGATAGAAGCCAATCCTGTCTATACTGCTGTTCCTTTGCATTTTGTTAATAGTACTTATAACAACTATAGTGCTCATGAAATTCATATACTAATGGATGTAACCAAGAAATATTGAAGTGATACATTGGCCAGTTTGTACCTCTATTTCTGCTTTTTAAAATGCTATGGGATGTTTGAGTATTTGAAAAGTCAGTGTTTTAAAATTTGCATATTGCTGAGCAGAAGTAGTCACTTTGCTTCAAAACTTTTAATACTCTTAAAAAAACTTTTAAGATTTCTAGATTGAAAAATGAGATACAAACTAACTGGTAATTTGCTGAAGGGTTTTAAAGGTAACATTTTTTCTCTTTTTAATCTAATACTGCTTTGAAGAGGTTTGCAGCAAAATAGAGCTGTCGGGAGAAAACCAGTTTGCTGGCTCCCAACATATTTCACAGGGTATAAATCATCTCATCCCAGTATGGAAACTGAATTTTATCAGTTCCCACAAATGATGAGAATTATTAGAGATAAACTGGTTTACAGTGACCGGAATTAGAAAAGACTAAATCAGAATTCCAGGTAAATTGATTTCCCTGAGAAATATAGCTGTGTATAGACCAAAGTTCGTATGTTGGATGGACCAGCACTCTGTCTGCTTTTAGAAGATATTTATGACAAACCAAATTATAATCCAAAGATTGCTTTTGTTAAGCATGGGCTTAGTACATGACTCAGATGTTTAATGGTACCAGGACATAGCTACTTGCAGTTTTATCCAGAGTTATATATTTGCTGTCAGGGCTAGGAAGATTGACCTTATATGCCTTCTACTGGGTGGTGGTAGATACCAACTGCCAAACAGACTCTTTCTGAGTTTGTGTAATATGGAAGATATCATCTCTTTCCTGTATATCTGTTCTTCTCTTTAGGTAATAAAATCGCTCATATTAAATCCAGGTTTTTGCTTTTCCTACTTCTGGACCAGTGCCCTTTGAATACATGTTCTGCTTTGTTATAAAACTACACATTGCCGTCAAAATCTTAATTTAGTGACTTTCAGGAATGACTTGCTGTCATTTAGGCCTCTGCCAGATCAATTATATTAATTAGACTCCCTCTACAACTGTAGTTAATTCAAGCTCTTCCCACTTTTAAGTCCTAACTTAAACTAACTATGCTATTGACTTGAGACTTTAAATCAGCTATGGTTTTTTAAAAGTAGGTGCATTTTCCAAAACTTTAAAAAAAAAAAGTTTTGTCATTTTTACATTCTTTTACCTGTTCCCCAAACACCTCAGCACAAGGCATATGTTGGCTGCCTAAAACAAAGAGAGCCCTGTCACAAACTAAAAATTTCTCAGTAATTAATAGAGTAAAAAGGACAAGTGGAGCATGGTAACTTTTCTGAAGGCCAGATCCATCAGTTTTAGCCTGTAATTCTCATTGGGTGATACTAATTTTTTAAAGTACATAATCTTTTATTTTATTTCAGTTCTAAGTGGACTCCATTTAGAAGAACAAATAAACTCAAAATTTCTTTCTCTGCCCTTTCTCTTCAGAGAGTCAAACTGTAAACTGGTGTGGTTCAGGTTTTGTTAACGTGCTTTATTCAGAACCTTTTAAAGATTTTATTTATTTATTTAACAGAGAGCGAGCGATCACAAGTAGACAGGCAGGCAAAGAAAGAAAGGGAAGCAGGCTCCCTGCTGAGCAGAGAGCCCAGTGCTGGGCTCGATCCCAGGACTCTGGGATCATGACCTGAGTCAGAGGCAGAGGCTTAACCCACTGAGCCACCCAGGCGCCCCCTATTCAGAACCTTTAAAAAAAAAACCAAAAAACTTTTTGTCGTTGTTTGGCTTCTTTGGCCCTTCAAACCTCTGTCTATTCCTTTTGTACTATATTTTCTTCCGATTTCTCTCTAAACCCTGTCCACTCACAAAATGTCTTTGTATTCCTCCACATTGTCTTTCTGGGTATGTCTTAATAACCACTTATTACAGAGATTGCATAAAATGGGGTGGAATGATAACCAGTCTCTATGGAGAGGCTGTTAGCATTGTGTCATTCATTGGTCTTCATGGAGCTCACTGAGACAACCGTACCTCCTCTATCACATGATATCCCCCTCCCAATTCCTTGGCTATCCCTTCTGAGGGACCTAGACTCCTCACTGATGTTTACAATCTCTTTGCAAAACTTCAGTGTGCTCTGTGAATGCCACGTTCATTTCAGGGCCGTGAGATACCATAGAATTTATTATTTATCTACAGTACCAAAATAGATCATTCTGTTACCTATTTTGATGATCTCATCAAAAAGCAATTTTTAAAAAAGATTTTCTTTAATGCTTAACATGTGATTCTTTTTTGTTGCTCAGTTATTGGACATGGTAAAAAGTTTAAAATACGAGAGATAACCCTATAAGGGTCATCTTTTGGATTTGCAAATGGTCTTTTGCTATTGTTCAAGACATGCTATGTAAAGCAACAGATACATCTTTCAGGCCCTGAAATCCACAGGTGTATTTTCAAAATACTCATAACTTCCTAATACTTTGCATAAAAATCTCATTTTAGTAACTTCAGCTGTCAGGAAAAGATAAAGGTAGAGTAAAATAGCAGATACTCTTCAGTCGGTCTCTAGTATCTAGGGATTTTTGTGTGACTTTGGAGGGTTCCTTTAGCTGAGTAACCACAGGTCATTTCTCACCGTTTGTAGATTTCCCTGGAGTTTTTTGGATAAGAATCCGTTACCACTCATAGTCCCCAGAGGATCTGCTTGAGCAAAAGCAGCTTTGTCGGTATTAGCTGTAGGCATATATTAGGTTTTTTTAACCCAATTACTGCTAGGTTTTGAATGCTTTACAAGGAAATCTTTATATCATCCATTTTTTTAATGTTATTATCTCTGTAAAGTTGCTCTGAATCTTATCTTTCAATGACTTGATTTTTCCAGGCCCCAAATCCTCACCAGTCCGTCTCCTTCAAAATCCATTCCAATTCCACAGCCTTTCCGACCAGCAGATGAAGATCATCGAAATCAATTTGGACAACGAGACCGGTCCTCATCAGCTCCAAATGTGCATATAAACACAATAGAACCTGTCAATATCGATGTAAGTAATCCAGCGTTGTTAGAACTAAAAAAAATTCGAGTGTATTTCTTTTTTGGTGCTATACTTGTAATATAGATCAGAAATGCATGTCAGTTATTATTATCGATAGACTTTTTCATGAATTACTGATCAGAAAAGCTTTGTCATCTTCTCTGATGGTATTAAATACTTAACTGGTGCCGCATTATGGAGTTGTTCTGATTTTTTCCTTACGACATTGTTTCTGCAAAAATCTTATCTTCTTCGTTTGTTTAACAGATAGTCCCTTGGCCATTTTATGGTAACGAAATAGGAATACAACTGCAGATTTTCTATTAAGATCAATTTGAGATCTTTATCTGAATTTCTAAAAGTACAACTTTGACTTAAATAACCCTTAAGAACTAATCATTACTTTATGTACAAGACACGCAAAACTATCTTTTACCTTCCTTACTTTTTTGACTATACCATTGTATTCCATCTCTCTATATATCATGAATATTTGCATTTTTTTGGTAAAGTTTCTCATTAGATTTTAATCTTTCATTTTTAAAAATGTATCTTCTCTTGTGTAATCATTGTATCAGTTATTTTAACCACCCTTTGGCTGGTCACTCTCGATGTTTTTACTTTTCCACTTTTATCTTGCACACTGTAACTTACCTTAGTTGCTTCTTCAATTAAATCTTCTTGGCGGCAGAAACCATTCCTAATATTAGCTCACTCGGCCCCTGTCTTAGAACTAAATGCATAAATGATCATCAAAAAAATGTTTGTTTCAGTAAAAGGGTAAGAATATGAAACAGGAAATTTCCCATATTTTAGACCAGGAATCAACAAACTTTTTCTTAAATGGCTAAATACTAAATACTTTAGCTTATGGGTCGTATGATCTCTAATGACAGCTGTTGAATTTTGTCATTGTAGTGTGAGAACAGCCAGATATAATACATTAGAAACAAATGGGTCTGGCTTCATTTCCACAAAACTTTCTTTACAGGATAATCCGGTAATTGAGTTACAGAAGATAATAATTTGCCCTTGCTACCTGAGCTGTAGTGAGCTGAGGATCCTGGTCTTAGAATTAGGAGTCTCTTCTCCCAGAATTTGTGCTTTCATAGAAAGAATGTAGGTTATCCTTAATCTCTGTAATAAGCAACAAAACACAAAACCCATCAAGCTTGTTTGCCTTGGAAAGTAATTTGTATTTTAAAAGGAAATTAAAATAAATAATAAAAATAATAAATTTTAAAAATAATAAAAATAAAAATAATAAAAATAAAAAGGAAGTTAAAACTGTTTCCCCAGGTAAACAGGGTATTAGAATTAGTGAGGTGATTACTAGTGTGTTAGAAGATGGGAATTTTTCTCATTTTACAGGTATTCCTTATGTGAGTCCTCATAGTTACAAGGTTGAGTAGAGAAGCAAAAAATTGTCCTAACAGGAAAATATTCACTTAGTAACAGACTACTTTAATATTAATCCCCCCACAAACATCCCTCCCCATCTAATACCAGTTTGCATTCCAGTCCCTTTACATTATTATCCAATATTTCAATGAAAACATAGTGCAGATTGATTGCAAATCTGCCCCCCCACAAAAAGGAAAGATTTTAAAGCTTTTATGAAGACAGTGAAAAAGGACTTTGAAGAACTACTGAAATTACGAAAAGCCACTGAGAAATAAGGAATTCAGTAGAAATAAATTAGTCCAGTTAACAATAGAAAAGATGCAGTGAAATGACAATATAATAGGCTCTTCAAATGAAAATGATTTAAGCATCAAAGGATTGATAGAGGCCCTTCAGGGAATTGATGAAGCCCTCTAAAATTTTTATAAAGATTTATTTATTTATTTTAGAGAAGGAGAGCATGAGCAGGTGGAGGGGCAGAGGCAGAGGGAGAGAACCCTCAAGCACATTTCCTGCTGAGTGTAGAGCCCAACACAGGGCTCCATCTCAGGACCCTGAGATCATAACCTGAGCCAAAACCAAGAGTTAGCCGTTTAACTGAGTCACCCAGATGTGCCTACAATTTTTATAAAAATGATTATGCTTGTGATGTAAAAGGTGAATATGACATTGAGGATTTTAGTTCGTGCTATCACAACTTTTGTATTAAGAACAACAACAACAACAAAAAAACCTTGATGTCTAAGAATTAGCATTTGAAATTATAACTTAAAGTTTGCTGGGGCACCTGGTTGGCTCAGTTAGTTGCATGGCCGACTCTTGATTTCAGCTGAGGTCATGATCTCTGTTTCCTGGGATCAAACCCTGCATCAGGCTCAGTACTCAGTGTAGATTCTGCTTCAGGATTCTCTCTGTCCCTCTTCCTTTCCCCCACCTTCTTTCTCTCAAATAAATAAATAAATCCTCCCAAAAAAAATTATTAAATGTAAAAGTAAAACTTTATTATAGATTTTAATTTCATTTTTCAAGATAAATTTCTAAATTCTGGACTTTGTTCCCACTTTTTTTTTTTTTTTGAGATTTCATTTATTTATTTGACAGAGAAAGAGATCACAAATAGGCAGAAAGGCAGGCAGAGAGAGAGGGGGAAGCAGCTCCTTGCTAAGCAGAGAGCCCAATGTGGGACTTGATCCCAGGACCCTGAGATGATGACCTGAGCTGAAGGCAGAGGCTTAACCAACTGAGCCACCAAGGCGCCCCTCCCACTTTTTACTTTGAAATTTTTTCTCTATTTTTATTGGATTCATTTTAAGTGGCCTTTTCCCAATATCAATTTTTCTCAACTAATAAGGTCTTCCTTTATCTAACTAGACCTGAATACAAAGGAAGAAAAAAGTAGGAGAGGGAAATATGGGAATAATGAGATTGTGAAATAAGAAGTCAAATCTTGGGGCACCTGGATGGCTCAGTCATTAAGCATCTGCCTGTGGCTCAGGTCTTGATCCCAGAGGATCAAGCCCTGCCTCAGGCTCCCTGCTCAAGGGGAATCCTGGTCCCTCTCCCACTCCCCCTGCTTGTGTTCCCTATTGCTGTCTCTTTCTCTCTCTGTCAAATAAATAAAATCTTTAAAACAAATAAAATCTTCTCAGGTCTGTTCTCATGATGTTCAAAATTATAGCCATTTTTACTTTCAGTACTAACATCCTTTTAGAATATTACCCTCTGGACTTTTTTACATACCTGTCATCATCTGTTTCCTTCTTCCAAAACTTTGATTGACTTCGCACTGATTATAAGATAATGTATAAATTCTTTAGCATTTTCATTCAATTCAAGTCATTTCATTCAGCTCCAATCATCATTTATCATTTATCATTCTAGTAAACAAGATTGTTTTGATTTGTTTTTGACATACTTGACAGTACTGACTCTGAGAGAGGCAGTATGACAGAATTGGGAACTAAGGATGAATTAGCACAGTCTTTGACCTCAAAGAAGTTACAGTCTAGTGGGTGAATCAGACATATAAATAAAGAGACATGAAGAAGAGGGTAATAAACTCTACCTTGTTGTATATAAGAATATTTAACAGAGAAAGGGTAACGTTTAGATCACATTGTAAAAGGTGAATGTGTAGGAGTTGATTAAGGACGCTTGGTGGGGGTTTTAGAAGAAAGGACAGTTGTTAAGGACATGGTAAGTGCAAAAGTATGGAAGTATCTTTGCATGGGATGTAATTAATAGTTGATATTGTAGGAGTTCAGGGCTCAGGAGAAGGGTGGGGAATGGTAGAAGACAAAACTAGGTAGGTAGAGTCCATACTGAAAGGCGTTGTGTCTTACATTAAGGTTTCTGTAGGAGTTGGTAGTAGGGAGTTCGAAAAATTTTGAGTGGGAGAGAAAGTGCTCAGCTCTATATTCTGGAAGAATCTTTTGAATTCATGAGAGATTTGTAGGCAAGACTGTTAGGAATGATATTGAAAATGCCTACTGTTTATGAATGCTTACTTTATGGCAAGTAGTGTACTAAGTGCTTTGCATAAATTTTCTTATTCTGTCCCCATAAATACTCATGGGTTAAGTACTATTTTTATTCTTATTTTACTGTTGAGAAAATTAGATTTGGGGAGGTTAAGAAATGTCTCAAAATCACATCACTGATAAATTAATGAAATGGAGTATAAAACCTGCTCTTTCCTGCTTATGCTTAACCACTGTTCTATAAAGTAATAGAAGAAAGAGGTGAAAGAGATGAGAGGTGGAAGATAATGCCAGGATTTCTCTGGCTTGGGTGAATAGATGGTATTCATTCCATTCATTAGGATAGGAAATACCAAAGGAAAAAGAACAGGACTTGTAGAAATGAAAATGGTAACTATTATTTTGAACATACTGGCATTAAGATGTCTGAGGGACTTCACTGGTTTAGAAGTCCAGTAGCAGTTAAATATAAAGACCTCGAGTAGAGATACAGATTTTGGAGTATTTGTCAGTTAAAACCGTGAGTGTAAATATTACTCAAGGAGTATATGTAAGTTGCCAAAAGGATAGAATATGCGGCCCCATTGAATATTATTAACATTTGACGTCCAGGCAGAGACTTTGGTTCTGTGTCTCTTTTGTGGGCTGCTCCTCCTAATTTTAACTTCATATGAGTAAGAGTAAGTAGTGTTGCAGAAGCCAAAGGGAGAAAAGGGACTTCAAGAATGCTGAAGTAGTTGATGTTAGTTGCCAGTGAGACTCAAATGTGAGAATGACTGAAAATGACTGTTGGACTATGTCATTTTGTCATTTTGATTTCATTGAGAACTGTTTGAGAGGGCTGGTGGGGGAGAGCAAGGCAGGCAAAGATGTGAGTTAAGTGTCAGTTTTGAGAAGCTTGGCTGTGAAGGAATAACAAAGGTGCCATAGATTAAAGCAGGGTTGCGGGACAGTTGTTTTTAATGTGAGAATCTTTTTTATAAAGGTTTTATTTATTTATTTGACAGAGACACAGCGAGAGAGGGAACACAAGCAGGGGGAGCGGGAGAGGGAGAAGCAGGCCTCCCACCGAGGAGGGAGCCTGGTGCGGGGCTGAATCCCAGGACCCTGGGATCATGACCTGAGCCAAAGGCAGATGATTAACGACTGAGCCACCCAGGTACCCCTTAATGTGAGATTTGTAACTTGAGGGAAAGAAGCAAGTGAAGTGTGAGAGATTGAAAATAAGATATGGAATAATTGATAGAGTAAAGTTCCTTTAATGTGGAAACAGTGTTCCTCAGAGGCTATGAGGAATTGAAGAAGAACATAGCTAGAGCTCTGTAGCTCTTTGCAGGCTGTATGATCTTGGGCACCTGACTTAACCTTGAAGCTAGCACTTTCTACCTCTTACAGTGGATTGAAAATTCTTATTGTGCCTTGCACATAGTAAGAATTCAGAAATTGTAGCTAACATTACCGTGCAAATATTCATAAATATGGGGCAAAACAGAATGTTCTCTGATGGCTTCTGTTTTCTCTATCATGCTCAAGGGAAAAAATAATAAGAAAGGAACTACAGGAGATGAGAAAGAATTTGAAAGAGCCAGTATTGGAATAATAGAAGATCCTCTTTCACCTAGAACAAATAAAAAGGTTGTCAAAGAACTTTAAGAACAGATTGAAAAGTAGAAGTTTATGGTGCAGGAAGAGTGGAAAAAGCCAAAACTGGCTGATCCCTGGTTATGGGGAGTCACAAGGCTGGTGTAGCAAAAAGGAAAGCAATGTGGCCTTTCTGCCTTTGTCTCATTCTTTCTGTCCAATGGGTCCTCTGGTTCCTGCCCCCCTACATTCCTGTCTATCCCTCAGACCCCAAATAATAGCTCATCTCTTGAAATGCTTCACCAGTGATAAGGTCTTACAGTTATTTATCCTTTGAACTTGTATAGCACTGAGGCACCTGGGTGGCTCAGTCGGTTAAGCATGTGCCTTGGGCTCAGGTCATGATCCCAGGGTCCTTGGATCTAGCCCTGTGTCGGGTTCTCGGCTCCATGGGAAGCCTGCTTCTTCCTCTCCCTCTGCCTGCTGATCCCCGCTGCCTGTGCTCTCTCTCTGTCAAATACATAAGTAGAATCTTTTAAAAAAAATCTTTCACCCATACTATTTATTTGGCAGTTAACTAAACCTCTTTGGCACCTCTTTTGTTTTCTTAAGCTATTCATTTATTATTTAACTTCCATGTTTTTATGTCTTTCTTCCACTTAGATTACAAACTCTCTTAAGAACACAAAGTTAGTGACACCACTAGGATTTTGTATTTATTGGTAGCCACACAACCCCTAATGCCTAGCACCTTGTTTGCAGATATATAAGTATTTGTTGGTTATTCTGTAGAAGATGTTGAAGGCTTTATGTAATACATGATAGAAATGCATCTGTGGAGTTTACGTTAGGTCTTAATCTATAAACAGAAAGCCGCCTCTTTGCAAAGAGCCTTTGAGCCTGTTTAGAGACATTTGGGGCCATTCGATCCTTCATATTTAAGTTAAACTGGATAAAAAATGAAGTTCTGCCTGTGACGGTCCAAGCAATGCCAGTAAACTTTTCGCTCCCCACCCCCAATATTGTCTGTTGTAAAAAGCTGTGTTTTAATCATAAAGACAGATTTTGACAAAACCCTTGTTTGAGCCATTTTGATTTTCTCCCTTCTCATGTTTCCTTACACATCTGTATTTTTATAATTGTGATCCATGTACATTTAATTTATCATATTGTAAACATGTTTCATGATGCAAGCTTCATAATTATTTCAGTAGCTGCATAATACTTACTAAATTGATGTGCCATAATTTACTCAACCCAAATGTCAGTATGTCTATAATAGGGAAATAATTATTTCTGATTTTTTTAGTATGATGGATAATGCTGCACTGGACATCCTTGTGCATATCATTTTTTCTTCTGAATTATTTCCTTAGGAAAAATTCCCAGAAGTGGAATTACAGGATCAAAGGGTATGAACATTTTATGGCTCTTAACATGTGCCGTTAGAATTTTTTTTAAGAAGTGACACAGCCATTGGTTTTGAATAGCCTGAACTGGATTTCAGCATTTGATCAGGACTAATAATCCCTTCAATATAGGGTTAGTTTGGTAGGTGCTTCCAAATGTTAATCAGGTTCACCAGCTAATTTCATATTCTTTCTGTTTTGTGAAGTCATTAGAAGATAGGTATTATTTTGAATTAACCTTTCTATTAATGGTTAGGGAAAAGTTGAGTGTTGCTATTACTTTCTTACCATATTCTTTGAATAAATATCCATTACTGTTTATTTGTAGGACTTGATTAGAGACCAAGGGTTTCGTAGTGACGGAGGTAAGTAGTGATTTCCATTTAAAAAAAAAAAAAAAAACCTCAGGGAAAAATGCAATTGCTTTGCTGCTTGTCTCCTTTATATTTGCTTCTATCATGAAACACAGACACAGAGAAAAATGTGTAGAGAAAGCCCCAAATATTTTTTGCTTTACTTTATTATTTGTCATTTATATCTAATACAATATTAACTGATTTATAAGATGAGTAGAGAAAAAGAGGACATAAAAGGGAGTCTTAAATGTATTATCCACAATTATAAAATCATCAAAGAGAGGGCCTTAACTATTTTACCCGCTACTGGTTTCTAACCATCTCCAAAACTCGATATGCTAAATTTCCTTTGGGAGCCTCCACTACCACCTCTACTTGTTAATGATTGAGCTTAGAATCAGTTAAAACTTGATTTTCCTTAATCATTCTTAGGGAAAATCCCTTAGGTTGCCTGTCAAAACTTCTCCGTTTGATAGAATCGTCAGCCTCTTCTCTTCAGGTTTCTAGAAGGATTCGAAATGTACCTAATACAGAATGGACCCTAAGAATGGGCCCTAAATCCTCTTGTCCTCTTATTCGTCCAGTAAATAAAATGAGCACTTGAGTTGAGATTTCTTCGCAGAGTTTTCATCAAATATTCACCCTAGCACTCTGTGAAAACTGGGGACATAAAACATTGCTTAAGAAAGTACTTGTAAAGTAAGATTTTGCCCCATATAAGGTTTTCCCAAAAATGCTATTTGAAACTGTCTTAAAGATTTCTTCCAGGTGGTCCTCCATGCTTGCTTTTTCAGCTGTCTTCTGCCTAATAAGGAAGACTTGGCAAAACCTGTTTATCCTGTTGAGCGTCAGTCTCTTCACTGTGACCTGCTTTATCTTGAAAATATCTAAGCCCGGACTTAAAGATATTTTATATCGAATAAACGTTGTATTAAAAAGTTGTGGTTTTTTTCCACTTGTTATTCTGTGAACCTGCCAATTAATGTTGCTGCAAGTTTGACTTTCATATGTCTTAATGACTGTGGCTTTTGATAATTTTGCCCAATACATCCAGCATTTAAATGTTGCCATCATGTTAGCATCACAGAGTTAACTTAGTCATACAAACTGCCTGCCTAGTAGCAAAAATCAAATGGCATTTCTTGTCCTTGTTATGAGTCACTTTATAAAAAGTCATTGGGATTTTATGAAAACAAGATCCAGAATTACGTTGTGAAGCAGGCTTCAGCTCATTTATTCCCATGACTTCTTTCATTTCTTCTTTGTGTCTGTCTTCCTGTGTTTGCCTGCCCCTCTCTTTCTCTTCTCACAGCCCCTTTGAACGAGCTGATGCGCTGTCTTCGGAAATGCCAATCCCGGACTCCCAGTCCCCTCCTACATTCTGTCCCCAGTGAAATAGTGTTTGATTTTGAGCCTGGCCCAGTGTTCAGAGGTAGTTGGGCTCTTCTTTCTTGTTTTCACCCAAAGCAAACTAAATATAAACTACAGACACTGTTTGTGCCTCACCCTCACAGCGTGTGTTTGTAAGTGTGAGAGTTTTCAGCACTAAATTTCTGCTTGGCCTGGCTGCAATGCTCTGAATGTGCCTCACATAACTCACTACCACAAGCTTTCTGTATGCTGTCCGTCATAAATTTCTAAAAGCAAGAAAATTCTGTGCTGAGACGTCCATCTTGTTTTTTGTTATTTCACTTAGGTTTTGCTCTTGGCAACTTCTTAAACTCAGTGGGTTGCAAAAAATAATGTATGCTGGGGCAGGGGTGTCCTTCAGTTTGAATTACTTTTATTTTAATCCATTTAGGCAGTAGCCTTCATGACTATTAATATTTGTTATCAATTTGTGTGGTTTTTAAAAAAGTAAAAATGGAAATTCCAATTATGAGATGTTGCTAGACTTTTGGCTTTATTTTTCTGTAAGAGCAGTATTCTTTTTTTAAATGTAGGACATGTACATTTTATACTAAAGGTAGGGAGCCTTAAAAAAAGGTCTATAATATATTTGGGGTACTTTAGCATACTTTAGAAAATATGAGGATTGACGGTCTCACTTATACCCTAATATGAGCGGGAAAGCTAATAGTATAATTGCACTCTCAATTTTTAAAGATTTAAGTCAAAACTCAGACAGATATCTTGCTGTAGATATTTTTAAAGAATTCCATTTACTGCCTTTGCTACTTTCTGTTACTTATTCTGAATTTAGTGGTGGTGTTTCAGATTTTTGCTCTCCACCTATTGCTCGTAAAATCCACAGAATGGGCTAGAAGTCCTGAGTGCTGAGGAGTGTGACCGAAATAAGTAGTTGAGTGCCATCCTCAGTAGATAGGAGTGTGAGGCCTGAGCAGGCAGTTAAGGCTTTAGGATGTTGAAAGTTACCAGTGAAAATGGATTATCCTCTAGTTACAGACATTCCAGATGCCATTTTCTTTTAAAAAATGGCAAGTTAGATCATGGAAATTCAATGTGATGACATGTGTGATATAGTAATGATAAAATTCTATAGTTTAAGATTGAGATGTATGCATTAGTGTATCCTTATTCTTTGAAAGATAGTGACACCTCCCTACCTCCAAATAGTAATTTTCTTAAAAAAAAAAAAAAGATAAGATAAGATAAGATTCTCTGGAAATCTTTTTGTTCTGTATATGCAAATATTATTGGACATCTCAGTTCTACTTAGCTATACTTAGGCCCTGCTAGGAGTCATTGGCCTGAACCCCTCTAAACCCAGTAGATGAACTTGAGATTTTTGCTTAGCATTTGGAAAAGGATGTGGCCCTGCCCCGAGTCTGCTTTCAGTGTATCTGTTGGGCTCACTTGGTTGATAGGATATTTCCATTTGTAGCAACTTAGCCAAGAGGCCATAGCATGCACTTTGTTCTCACGCAGTACAGGTAGCAATTTTTCAGAAAATCTTGAGAAACCTGTTTGGTTTGTTTACATTAATTAATTAATTAATTTACATTAGTTTGTTATGCAGGTAACAAATGATCTTTGTTTAGTAGACTAGGAATCCAGGAACCAATGAACTCACCAATATTTACAACTAAGAGTTAAATAGTATAGTTAAACAGTATAGGATTTTTAAAGTTTTAGTGGCTAAAATGATAGAGCCAGATACTCTTAACATTAAGGCCGTTATTATAGTATGTTTCCTTTTGGGAGTTTCCATCTGTTTTTATATTGATTGGCTATAGAGGGTAACATAAAATAGTTACAGAGTTTTACATATAGATAAGCTTTTAAATTGATTTTACTTTTTTAGTCATCAAAGAAACCAAAACTTGGGAGTATTGTTATAGTATTGAACTCTTATTTTAGAAGGGTAATTATTTTTTCTGGACTCTGTACCAATAAGCAAAGTTTGTATCTGTAATCAGATGTTTTAAGAGTCATTAAATTAAAAAAGAAAAGTCATTAAATTAGCCAGAAAACTTAAAGAAATGGTAGTGCAAATCACCAAATGAGGCTCTTTTTTGGCCGTCATTTCCAAAAGGTGTATATTTAAAGATCTGCTGCATTTTTAAAAGAAGTCTAAATTTCTCCCCAGCCTCTGCCCCCAATAAATTAATATACTTGATCCTCCTTTAATAGATGTATTTTTTGTTTCACTAACTTAGGATCCACCACAGGTTTGTCTGCCACCCCCCCTGCCTCATTGCCTGGCTCACTCACTAATGTGAAAGCATTACAGAAATCTCCAGGACCTCAGCGGGAAAGGAAATCATCTTCATCCTCAGAAGATAGGAATCGAATGGTAAGAATATATGATCTCTTTTTTTCCTCTAAGTTCTTTTGTTTTATAAGTCATAGTTAAATGTAATACCACCTTTTAGACTATATGATATATAGTGATGTATGATATGATATGTCAATATGTGACACCGAATTCCCTTAATGAAATAAATATAATTATTATATATAATCCTGTAAGTTTTCTGCTTAAAGGATTTCTATACACTGATTGTTGCTCTCTCTTTTTTGTTTGCTTTGGCTTGACTTCTGCACAAATTTTATCAAGAAAACACTTGGTAGGCGGGATTCAAGCGATGATTGGGAGATTCCTGATGGGCAGATCACAGTGGGACAGAGAATCGGATCCGGGTCATTTGGGACAGTCTACAAGGGGAAGTGGCATGGTATGTATCTAATACAGTTGCACACAAGTTAAAACAGGACATGTTTAACATTTCAATAGAAAAATATCAAAGGGAATATTTACTGGTTGCAACATTAAGCTATTTTATTCAGATTCAAGAGTCCTCCAAAGGGTTTCTTAAGAAACTATGGGAAATAAAAACTGGATTCACAGCAACCAGGACTCATTAGATTTTAAAGATGACAATTCTCTAGGAGAGCTGTACCTCGAGATTTTTTTCTTTTTGAAGTCTTTTTGCTGGTTTTCTTTGTAGTATAAATCACAAATAAACATTAAAAGTATACTTCCCAAAGGAGGAAATAGCCAGTAAACATATAAAAATGTTTAGCCTCTCTAGTTATCAAAGATTACAAAATCAAAAACCAGAAATCATTATTTGCTTCTCAAGTGAACAGATTCTTTTTTTTTTTTTTTTTTTTAAGAATTTATTTATTTATTTGACAGAGAGAGATCACAAGCAGGCAGAGAGGCAGGCAGAGAGAGAGGAGGAAGCAGGCTCCCTGCTGAGCAGAGAGCCCGATGCGGGGCTCGATCCCAGGACCCTGAAATCATGACCCGAGCCGAAGGCAGTGGCTTAACCCACTGAGCCCCCCAGGCGCCCCAGATTTTTTTTTTTTAATTGATCATGTTTATTGCTATGATTGTGACACTGCTAGTAGGAAAATAAATTGTTACAAATTTTCTGGAGGGCAGTTTGTCAGTATGTATGTTGAGCTAACAATTCCATTTTTAGAACTACAACTAATTGAACAGAAACAAATGTATGTGCAAGTATATTCATTAGAGACTATTATATTAATGAAAAATGGAAATAAACTTACCTGTTCATTAATAGAGGACAGGATGAATTGATAATCTCCATATATGATTATATAGGCATGAAATAGTGTGATCTGTATTTGTTGATTCAGAAAGGTGTCCATAGTATATTAAATTTTACAAAGCAGCATGTATAATACTTCATATTATGATACTGCCTACCAATAAATATAACATAACATAAAATTAAAAATGACCATCAGGGGCACCTGGGTGGCTCAGTGGGTTAAAGCCTCTGCCTTTGGCTCAGGTCATGATCCTGGGGTCCTGGGATCGAGCCCCGCATCGGACTCTCTGCTAAGCAGGGAGCCTGCTTCCTCCTCTCTCTCTGCCTGCCTCTCTGCCTACTTATGATCTCTGTCTGTCAAGTAAATAAATAAAATCTTAAAAAAAAAAAAAAGACCCATCAGTATTTTAGTATGTATCTTTTTAGGTTATCTTTTCATGTGTATTCATAAATGTTCACATTGCATACATATAAAAGCCTAATATGATGTATATCAGTATGTTAACAAAGATCATTTCTGAGTGACAGATTATCAGAGATTTTAATTTTTTTATGTTTTCAAAATAGTTTTTCATGGGCGGCCTGGGTAGCTCAGTTGTTAAGTGTCTGCCTTTGGCTCAAGTCATGGTCCCAGGGTCCTGGGATCAAGTCCTGCATCGGGCTCCCTGCTCAGTGGGAAGCCTCCTTCTCACTTTCCCACTCCTCCTGCTTATGTTCCCTCTCTCTGTGTCTCTTTCTGTCAAATAAATAGAGTCTTTTAAAAAAATTTTTTTCACTATATTACTTTGGTAATCAGGAAAAATCAATAATTATATCAAAGTATAGTATATCTGCAAAACAGTGCAAGATTCATCTGTATTATTGTGTGTAGTTGTAAGCCATCCTCTGTGTAGTATTGATTATGTGCCTATAACCATGATTTCTTTTTTGAACTCTACTGTATGATGAGCATTTGAATAGTTTCCAATTTGGGGCTATTACAAGTACTGCTGCTGTCAATTCTTAGTACATGTTGTTTCGTGAACATATGTTTCATTTTTGCTGGGTGTATACCTAGGAAAGAATTGTGGGACCACTGGATATACATATGTTCAATTTTAGTAGATGTTTCAAGTGGTTGTACCATTTTACACATCCACTGGCAATGTGTAAGAGTTCTGCCTGTTTCACATGAAATTTTTCTTTAATTATAATTTAAATAATTTTCCTAAGCAAAAGAATGCGATCAGTGGATTTGAAAAACATGTTAAATACTCATAAAGAAATTTTGCAGTTTTCTCTTTCAGGCAAGCTTCACTGGGACTGTCATCGGTAGTTTCAACATTCAGTTAATAAAAGCATCTAGTTTAATATTGTTAAATAACTAGGAAAATACCATGGGTACTTAATTGATTAAACTAAATTTCCAGGGGAAAAACAATGTTGGCCCTTTTTCTGGATTGGTTTTTTGTTTGTTTGTTTGTTTGTTTGTTTTTTAAAGATTTTATTTATTTATTTGACAGAGAGAGAGTGAGAGAAGGAGCACAAGGAGAGGGAGTGAGAGAGGGAGAAGCAGGCTTCCTGCCGAGCAGGGAGCCTGATGCGGGGCTCTATCCCAGGACCCTGGGATCATGACTTGAGCCTAAGGCAGATGCTTAACAACTGAGCCACACAGGCACCCCTGCATTGGTTTTTTGAAATACTAATATAGGAATTTCGTTCCCTTAGTTTTTATCCTTAGAAAAGTAATGCATTTTGGGAAGTTGAGATATCATTGTTTGCTCTTTAATAATGGTATGGAAATAAAGCCATGGTAATTAGTGGAAAATACCCAACAGGGTTTTGGTTTTTTTAATATTTTTTAAGTTTAAAAAAATGGAATGACATTTGGAATGACCATTCTTTTTTAGGTGATGTGGCAGTGAAAATGTTGAATGTGACAGCGCCCACACCTCAGCAGTTACAGGCCTTCAAAAATGAAGTAGGAGTACTCAGGTGAGCATGTGTGAATTACTCTTTTCCAGAGAAGTTACCTTCATCTTCTCTTTCCCAGTGACAGCTGATGGTGGCTTTACAGTTTCACTAGAAGTGAGTAAAATGGAGTTTGTCTGAGTATATTTTGTCTTTATATTCTTCAAGTGGTATACAATGTTATGTGGTATAAATGATGGAAAAATTAATCCTAGACTGAATTAATAGAAATAAAATACTCTGTTCATGGGAAATCATATCACCACTTAGCAAAATAATACTCTCAAAATTCTAAATTTATAGAACACATTTAAAGATTGTATCAACCATGGAACTTGAGGGTCATTAACAAACTAAAGTATATCCAGGCAAGGACAACTTAGACGAGGAGTATTCTGGTACTATAACTTAGGGGAAAAACAATTAACAGAACTCAAGGTATTTGGGTCCCTTGAAAGCCATTATTTTCAAGAGGGTACAAAGTTATTCTATTTTATTCCAGAGAGCAGAAAAGGAAAGCCAGTGTAGGGAAATGATTTTTCTCAACCCCAAAGAATTCTAAGACTAGAATCACTTAAGAAACAAAAAAAAGGGGGGGAGTGGTGAAGGAAATAAGCTACAATCTCAGTGATAAACTTCACATAATTGAAGGTATTTAAGCAACCTCCAGTTGCCTGTCTGAAGTATATTAAAATTTAAGGCCTTTCTGAAAGGGGTAGGATGTTAGACTAGACGATTCCTAAAGTCATTTCTTAATTTATCCTTCCATTGTCCTTTTTTTTTTTTTTTAAGATTTATTTATTTATTTTAGAGAGCAGGTGTATGCGCACACGCGAGTGGAAGGAAGGACAGAGGGAGAGAATCTCAAGCAGACTTCCCACTGAGCAAGGAGTCCACTGAGCATAGAGTAGGAGGTGGGGCTCCATCTCACCACCCTGAGATCATGACCTGAGCCAAAACCAAGTGTCGAATGCTTAACCGACTGAGCTACCCAAGCACCCCTCTGTTGTCTTTTTTAAAATACTTTTTTCTAACATCACCTTACTGATAATTAGTCTGTTTGGGGACTTTTTAAAGATTTCCTGAAGTTTATCAACCTTTAGTATTTACTAACATTTTTCCTTTTACAGGAAAACTCGACATGTGAATATCCTACTTTTCATGGGCTATTCAACAAAGCCCCAACTAGCTATTGTTACCCAGTGGTGTGAGGGCTCCAGCTTATATCACCATCTCCACATCATCGAGACCAAATTTGAGATGATCAAGCTTATAGATATTGCACGGCAGACTGCGCAGGGCATGGAGTAAGTTCCATTCTGTTAAATCTCTTATAAAATATTTTTGAGACCACTGATGGTATTTTAAAGGTTTTAGCTAATACTCTTTTGGGTTCCTTTTTAAATTACTGTCTGGTAACAAATGGACACTTTTAACTAATGTGATATTAAGAAAGAGTATCTCTAGTACAGTCTTCAAAAACTATCTTCAAGTATTTGATAGCAAATACAGGACTGCAAATTTATGTTTAGCATGCAGTGGTTTAGCAGTAGAGGTTCAGAAAACAAAACAGGCCAAAAAAAACGAAAACAAAACAAAAAAACCCTACTGAAAAGTCATTAACAGTTACTGAAGTGTACAAAATGATAAGTTACCCTTTCAAATTATTTTCTCCATATACCCATATTTATCTTTATGAAATGGTCATCTGAGTGAAATAAATTTAAATGAAAATCTGCATTCTGACCCTTTTTGGGGATTTCAAGCTGAGTCGTTCATATCCATTGAATTTTGCTATGTAATTTAAAAGATCAAAGGTTATTTGAATAGAATTTATCATCAATCAAAATAGGGAACCAACTGGGAAGGATAAATTTTGCATGCAACTCTTAAGTACAAATGAAAAGATAAATCAAGTAAAACTTAATAAATTTTGAAAGCATTTAGATGAATTTTAAATGGGTAAGATAAAAGTTTGAAAGCTCTATGGGTAGTTTAAAAGTGTGTATGTATCTTAAATTTACATTTTATAGTATACAAATGGCTTTCAATTGCATTGATCATATGTCATTTAATCTTTATAATGCTTTTATAAAGTACATATTTTTATTTGCTTCTATAGATAAGGAAATTCGGGCCTTTAAATGACTGTCTAAGGCTACACATTTAATAAGCAGCAGCAAAGGTGTTTAATTCAGAATCCTACTCCCAAGCCATTATTCTTTCCCCATATTCACTATGCTTCTTTTACATTTTAAAATCAGAATAAAAGGATAAAAGTGTATCTGTGTACTGCTACTAGGGCCATGACTCAAGATCACAGAGCAAGTAAGCATAAGACCAGGACTCAAAATCAGATCTGGCTTTTAGGTCTTCCTGCTGAACTGTCACCCTCTTTGTGTCCAAACTAGGCAGTATGTCTGTAATTTGGATTGCTTACAAGCCTGTGTTCAGCCAAAATGCTTATTGCAGCAAATGATAACCTAATCAGTAACAGTCCCACTTATCCACTAGACTTAAAACAATTTCAGCCTCTCATAGAAGTTAGAATCTGAGTCTGTTCAAATCTGAAAGGTATATTAAAGTCTTGTAGAGAGTAAACCATGGCAAAAATAGTAAACATTGATAGAAAAAAAAAGCTTATTCTGCTCCCATCCCAACAGTCCCTTTGCTTTTTCTTTAGCAAGCCAAGCCTGCTGCCTCCTTATAGCCTTTGTACCTGTTATTTTGCTCTTTGGGGTACTTAGTCCACAAATATCCATAGAGCTTCTTCCTTCTGTCTCTATTCAAACAGCATCTTTTGAAAGAAAACTTCTCAGGGCACCTGGGTGGTTCAGCCGGTGAAGCATCTGACTCTTGATCTCAGCTCAGATCTTGACCTCAGGGTCTTAAGTTCAAGCCCCGTGCTGGGCTCCACACTGGGCGAGGAGCCTACTTTAAAAAAATAAAAAATAAAAGAAGCCTTCTGTCATTACCTTATATAACTAGTGTTCCTACCCCACCTATGTCATTTTTTTACTTCTTCCTATTTTGTTTTACGACCTAGCTCTGTATGACATAGTTGTTTATTGTCTGTCACCCCTACTAGAATACAAGCTGTATGAGATGAGAGACTTTGATTTGCTCATTGTTTTATCCCTAATGCCTAGGACGGGGCCTGGCCTATAATAGATACTCAATACATATTTGTTAAATGAAAGAATGATTGCATATATTATTGATAGATTTACCTTCTGGAAGAGAGAGAGGCCAAATCTTTCTCATATCAAAACAGAAGTGTTAGGGCGCCTGTGTGGCTCATTTGGTTAAGTGTCTGCCTTTGGCACATCATGTGGGATCGAGCCCCGTGTTGGGCTCCCTGCTCAGAGGGGAGTCTGCTTCTCCCTCTGCTCCTGCCCCTCCTCATGCTCTATCTCTATCAAATAAAATCTTAAAAATTTTTTTAAAAAATCAAGGAAAGGGAAAACAGTCAAAGAGTAATAAAAGAATAACAAAGGGGAAAGGCTTTTGCTATACACAGAAGCAACAAAGAATAGTATCAGAAATTGTGATTGGAGGTGGGGGGCACCTGGGTGGCTCAGGGGGTTAAAGCCTCTGTCTTTGGCTCAGGTCATGGTCTCAGGGTCCTGGGATTGAGCCCCACATCGGGCTCTCTGCTCAGCATGGAGCCTGCTTTCCTCCTCTCTCTCTGCGTGCCTCTCTGCCTGCTCGTGATTTCTCTCTCTGTCAAAAAAAGAAATAAAATCTTAAAAAAGAAAAAAAAATTGTGATGGGGGGCACCTGGGGGGCACCTGGGTGGCTCAGGCGTTAAGCATCTGCCTTCGGCTCAGCTCATGATCCCAGACTCTTGGGATCGCACCCCATATTGAGCTCCCTGCTCAGCAGGAAGCCTGCTTCTCCCTCTCCCACTCCGCCTGCGTGTGTTCCCTCTCTCACTGTCTCTCTCTGTCAAATAAATAAAATCTTAAAACAAACAAGGAAAAAAAATAAGAGAAATTGTGATGGGTCAGTGAACTGCCAGTACAGATAAAGCCAAGAAGTGACCACAGAGATAACATTATCAAAATGGAGTAGTTCGCTAGTCTGGGGAATAGTCACTGAAGAGGCAGTATGTTCCCATTGCTGTACAGTCTGAGTTTTATAAGCATGACCTTGACTTCTGCCTACTCTGAAATACTTGGTAACCAACTATATAATGAGTATACCTGGTTATGAATGCAGATCGTCCTATCAGTTTATCCCAGTTTTAATAGCTAAAAAAGTGTTAATTATAAATTTTAAGCCTTCTAGCAAGAGTTGTTTTATTACCAGCTTTAACCAAAGAAGATACATTTCCTGGTTTTCCTTTCCATTCTTAATAAGGCAGTAACACGCAACTGTAGTTAAATATACTAACACATCTTTAGTTTCCAAAGGCTTTGGCAGATGTGGGTTTTCAGTTAAGGTGACAAATTTTTGCTGTCTCTTGAAACTCCACTGAAACTATAATCAAGGAATTGTTTTAAGCCTGAACATATAAGAATGGAGACAACAGAGAGGAAGGAAACAAACAACATTTTGAAAGCCAGAAAGTAGACAGAGAAGTGGTAATGGACTTAATACACCTAAAAAAGCTAAATCCCTAGTTGTCAGTGGGGAAATAAAAACCAGCCTTATTTATACCAGCGATTCCTCAGAAGTCTCAGGAATTGGCAGTGTCAGGTATCTTCAGAAGAGGGACAGCACGTAAGTGAGAAAGCAGTCTTCTCTGAATTCCGTCTCCCACTCTGTGTCACTGGGTGACTGCCTCATGCCTTCCCTGACAGTAGACTTTTATTCTCTGGAGAGAGGAAAACCAGTTATGTCTGGACTGGGAACAGGGACTTGGGTACTTTGCTCGCGACAGGAGGATTGAGTGACTGATTTCTGAAGGATGGATGGAGAGTCCCCCAGTGCTCTCTTTTCAGTGATTCCCAGAATGCTGGCTGTGAAACCTGCCCCTTCAGGCAGGAGATTGGGAGAGTCTTCTCTGAAGAAACTTGCCAGCCAAGAGGACAAACCCAGAGGTAGTGACATCAGACATTCCGCCTAGACCAGTACAGGAAAGTTCAAAAACAAGAAGCCCATCTGTACACTTAGACCTTCCAGGCAGTTCACTGGACCTTCCCTCAGTCTGAGTAAGACATTATCTCTGGATCAACAAACATCAGGTGCTAAAGTGTTGAATGCCAGTGACAGAGACCAAAACAAATGGGAGTTAAAAAGGCAATGAGGGGGGCGCCTGGGTGACTCAGTTGGTTAAGCATCTGCCTTCAGTTCAGGTCGTGATCCTGGGGTCCTTGGATTGAGCCCCACTTTGGGCTCTCTGCTCACTGGGGAGTCTGCTTCTCCCTTTCCTCTCTCTCACTCTGCTCTCTCTCTCTCAGATAAATAAATAAAATCTTAAAAAAATAACAAGGCAGGGTGCCTGGGTGGCTCAGTGGGTTAAGCCTCTGCCTTCAGCTCAGGTCAGGATCTCAGGGCCCTGGGATCGAGCCCCATATCGGGCTCTCTGCTCAGCAGGGAGCCTGCTTCCCCCTCTTCCTGCCTCTCTGCCTGCTTGTGATCTCTCTGTCAAATAAATAAATAAAATCTTAAAATAAAAAGGCAACTGGGGATAAACAAACACAATACAAGGAGCAGAGATGCCCCTCTCCCCCCAAAATCTATCCGTTTCCTCAGATAAAAGAAGAATTTTTATTCAGAAAGCAAGAACAGATGGTTTATAAGGAACATTTGGATAATAACAACAGCAGCAACAATGTTAAAATGTTAATATCCTCATCCAGTGCAAATTATATGCCTTGCAGTTATTTAAACTTTTAAATGTCTGATCCCTCCTTCCCTGTCCTCCCGCATCATTTCACAAAGGACAGACAAGCTAAATGCAGCTGACCGATCAGTCCACAGACTATTTAAATAGCTACCTAATAATAATAATAATAATAATAACAACAACAACAACTTCTCTGCAAAGCCCTCATTTAAAATAGTCTGCCCCCTGAGTGTTTTGCAGATGTTGTTGATCTTTTGTGACTCCTTTCTGAAATGTATTTTGAAATCAGAGGGTATAGCAGAATAAGGAGCATACTAACTCATTGTATGAGGTGCTGGGGTTACAGTCTGTCGTCAGATAAAACCTTCAGTAATTAGGAAGGTTGAATCATTGGGAGTTTCAAGTGTGTCACCTTTATTGGATTATAGGATATAAGCAGATGGGGGACATTTTTTCTTTGTGTTTGTGTCTTCTTCATCAGTGAAGGATCATTTCTGATTCCTAGGTTTCCCT